TTTACAGATCCTCTAACAGTATATCTAATCTTCTCTAAATGAATGTAAGACATAACTTCTCTTAACCAATGACCATATACATCTACAAAGAGTTGGGTGCACAGGAACCTGCGTGTGCACGAGTTTATACATCTGATGTATTTTGGTGCAGCGCACTTTTATAAATTTGTCCGTACGTCAACTTTTACTGTGCAAGCTGCACACTCCTTTATGCATGAGGCCCTGGACACTAAATATTTCTGGTCTACACTCTGGAAAGGGTCACATGATGCTGATGTTTGATGTATAAGCATCACATTTAGTCCGTTTGACCTCAGAATCCCTCAGAGTCTGTGGTTCTGATCCAACCAGAGGTCTCATGTGTAAACGATGTGTATGCATAAAAAATGTGCAGTGCAATAGTTAATGCACAAGTCAGGATGTTTAAAAATAAGCACAGTAGAGTGCATAAATACATGCAAATATTCACCTGCTGTGAGAATGTGCAGCAGACACACAAAGTTTTTCAGTCGACAGTTTTAACTCACAAAGTCATGAATCTGACCTGAATCCACAGAAAAATGACTCTGTTGTGTTTTCTGGATGTAAGGAGCGTCTGAACACGCTGTTAGATTTTTATTTTGAGCTTTTATTGTTTAAACCTGAAAAATGAAAATGAACCTCATTTAACTACAAGAAAACAGAATAACCTAAAAATGATCCAAACAACTCAGTCCACTGCAAACTGTAAAGTTTTTATGTTTTTATCACCTGTAGATATAAACATGTCAGAAAGCACAGCTGAGGAGAATAAAATGTGTGAATTGTCTCAGAAATATTTTAATTCCCACTGATTAAAATAATTAACTCAGCAGATTAATTCAGAACAGCTCAGCTGTGATGATTCCTCAGCTCCACAAAGTAACTGAAACTACAGTGTATGTTCATAAGTAGCTGTGAAAACTTGTGTGTAAAATGTGGAACACTTTCAGCTGTTGTGCTGCAGGCTGACATCAGCACAAGAACTGAGGACAGTGTGTTTTTTGGTTTGACACTGAATAAATGACAGTGAAGTATTTTACTGTAGTTCTGAGCTGAGCCATGCAGCTGGATGAGAGACTTGATGACTGTAAAATGTAAGTCCTCTGCCCTACAGCAGAAACTCTCCATTGAGGTGCTGCGACTCGTTTCTTCACAACAGCTACTTCAGAAATAAAGTTCTAAGTTCTACCAAACTCATGGTTCCTGTGTGTTTACAGTCATTTATTAAAGACGTGTAACGCTGGAGGATGAGGTGAAGGATCAAACAAAGTGCAGTCCAAAGACCTCTTCTGATGAGGACCACCACTGTTCTAATGTTCCCTAACCTGGACACGGGTCACCGGGGCCCCACTCTGGAGCCAGGCCTGGAGGTAGGACACAGTGGCGAGCGCCTGGTGGCCAGGCTTTTACCCATGGAGCCTGGCCAAACACAGCCTGAGGGGCTCACCAACTGTGGGAGGGGCCGCAGGGGTCAGGTGCCATGTGTATTGGACAGTGGTTGAAGGCTGAGACCCTGGTGGTCTGATCCTCAGCTACAGAAGCTGGCTCTGGGGACGTGGAATGACCCTAGAGCCATGAATGAGGGGATCCTTTTTGGTGACCTTAGGATCACATCTCTGCTTTTTGTGGATGATGTGGTCCTGTTGGCTTCATCAGATCC